TGGACACAGGTGTTGGACACAGGTGTTGGACACAGGTGTTGGACACAGGTGTTGGACACAGGTGCTGGACACAGGTGTTGGACACAGGTGTTGGACACAGGTGTTGGACACAGGTGTTGGACACAGGTGTTGGACACAGGTGTTGGACACAGGTGTTGGGCACAGGTGCTGGACACAGGTGTTGGACACAGGTGTTGGACACAGGTGTCGGACACAGGTGTCGGACACAGGTGTTGGACACAGGTGTTGGACACAGGTGTTGGACACAGGTGTTGGACACAGGTGTTGGACACAGGTGCTGGACACAGGTGTTGGACACAGGTGTTGGACACAGGTGTTGGACACAGGTGTTGGACACAGGTGCTGGACACAGGTGTTGGACACAGGTGTTGGACACAGGTGCTGGACACAGGTGTTGGACACAGGTGTTGGACACAGGTGTTGGACACAGGTGTTGGACACAGGTGTTGGACACAGGTGTTGGACACAGGTGCTGGACACAGGTGTTGGACACAGGTGTTGGACACAGGTGCTGGACACAGGTGTTGGACACAGGTGTTAGACACAGGTGTTGGACACAGGTGTTGGACACAGGTGCTGGACACAGGTGCTGGACACAGGTGTTGGACACAGGTGTTGGGCACAGGTGTTGGACACAGGTGTTGGACACAGGTGCTGGACACAGGTGTTAGACACAGGTGTTGGACACAGGTGTTAGACACAGGTGTTGGACACAGGTGTTGGGCACAGGTGTTGGACACAGGTGTTGGACACAGGTGTTGGACACAGGTGTGGTCTTTCCTCAGGAGCGTGGAGGCCCCGGGGCCCGTGTATGTGCAGGCCGTGGACAGCAGTGGCGTCCCCCTGTGTCTGTCCTGTCAGGAGCCTTGCCCGACCTCCGGAGGGGCCTGGGACACCCGCTTCTGCAGCCACAGGTGAGGATTAGGATTGTTTGTCCCACACAAAGGGGAAATGTCAGTGTTGCAATCACCAGAACAGCAGAAAATGACAACTAACTTTAAAATCCTGTATATTCTAATGCAGTTGTATGTTAGCATGTTAGCGTATAAGCATGTTAGCATGTTAGCATGTTAGCGTATTAGCATGTTAGCATGTTAGCGTATTAGCATGTTAGCATGTTAGCGTATTAGCATGTTAGCATGTCAGCGTATAAGCATGTTAGCATGTTAGCGTTAGCATGAGGCTCCGGGACACAGTGACACATGTGGTTATTGCACTTCCTGACAGTATTGCAGATTATTGCACAGATGTACGACATGTGAAGTCAGGTCCTCACTGTTCGTTGTACAGTCTGACAGCTGCCCTCATGTGTCTGTTCTTCTGAAGCTGAACCTCCACAAACATGTACCAACTCTCTGCCTCAAATATAAACATCTGAGCCTCTAGATTTTTCACCGTTTACTTTTTAAATACTTTTCTTCACTGCCTTCGAACCCAGCTCCATTGTGTTTCTTAAATATATATATAGTCGCTACAGATGCTACAGTCGCTACAGATGCTACAGCCGCTACAGATGTTACAGCCGCTACAGTCGCTACAGATGCTACAGCCGCTACAGATGCTACAGTCGCTACAGATGCTACAGTCGCTACAGATGCTACAGCCGCTACATATGCTACAGCCGCTACAGTCGCTACAGATGCTACAGCCGCTACAGATGCTACAGCCGCTATAGTCGCTACAGATGCTACAGTCGCTACAGATGCTACAGATGCTACAGATGCTACAGTCGCTACAGATGCTACAGATGCTACAGCCGCTACATATGCTACAGCCGCTACAGTCGCTACAGATGCTACAGCCGCTACATATGCTACAGCCGCTATAGTCGCTACAGATGCTACAGCCGCTACAGATGCTACAGTCGCTACAGATGCTACAGTCGCTACAGATGCTACAGTCGCTATAGATGCTACAGTCGCTATAGATGCTACAGATGCTACAGATGCTACAGTCGCTACAGATGCTACAGCCGCTACATATGCTACAGCCGCTATAGTCGCTACAGATGCTACAGCCGCTACAGATGCTACAGTCGCTACAGATGCTACAGTCGCTACAGATGCTACAGTCGCTATAGATGCTACAGTCGCTATAGATGCTACAGATGCTACAGATGCTACAGTCGCTACAGATGCTACAGTCGCTACAGATGCTACAGTCGCTACAGATGCTACAGCCGCTATAACTGTTCACTTCCTGGACCATCCTTGGCTCTGATTGGTTAAGGAGTCTGTCAATCTGGTCTCTTGGCCACAGACTTGTTTTTATCAATGAGGATCCATGAGTTTAAAGCTTTCATTTCAGACAAAAGGGTTTCTACTTTATTTAGTACATTTTACAGACCAGTGCTTTACAATCAGGAATACAGAAATCAGATATTCTCTCCCTCTGGTCTCTCTCTGGTCTCTCTCTGCTCTCTCTCTGCTCTCTCTCTGCTCTGCTCTCTCTCTCTGCTCTCTCTCTCTGCTCTCTCTCTGCTCTCTCTCTGCTCTGCTCTCTCTCTCTGGTCTCTCTCTGCTCTCTCTCTGCTCTCTCTCTGCTCTCTCTCTGCTCTGCTCTCTCTCTCTGCTCTCTCTCTCTGCTCTCTCTCTGCTCTCTCTCTGCTCTGCTCTCTCTCTCTGGTCTCTCTCTGCTCTCTCTCTGCTCTCTCTCTGCTCTGCTCTCTCTCTCTGCTCTCTCTCTCTGCTCTCTCTCTGCAGCTCTGTCTCTCTGCTCTCTCTCTGCTCTCTCCCTCTGCTCTCTCTCTGCAGCTCTGTCTCTCTGCTCTCTCTCTCTGCAGCTCTGTCTCTCTGCTCTCTCTCTGCAGCTCTGTCTCTCTGCTCTCTCTCTGCTCTCTCCCTCTGCTCTCTCTCTGCTCTCTCTCTGCAGCTCTCTCTCTCTGCTCTCTCTGCTCTCTCTCTGCTCTCTCTCTCTCTGCTCTCTCTCTGCAGCTCTGTCTCTCTGCTCTCTCTCTCTGCTCTCTCTCTGCAGCTCTCTCTCTCTGCTCTCTCTGCTGCTCTCTCTCTGCTCTCTCTCTGCTCTCTCTCTCTCTGCAGCTCTCTCCCTCTGCTCTCTCTCTGCAGCTCTCTCTCTGCAGCTCTCTCTCTCTGCTCTCTCTCTGCAGCTCTCTCTCTCTGCTCTCTCTCTCTGCTCTGCTCTCTCTCTGCAGCTCTCTCTCTGCAGCTCTCTCTCTGCTCTCTCTGCTCTCTCTCTCTCTGCAGCTCTCTCTCTCTGCAGCTCTCTCTCTCTGCAGCTCTCTCTTTGCAGCTCTCTCCTTTAGCCCAAACCTTTAGTGTGTATAAATGTATTGAGTGTGTACTTCCTGGATCAGTGTGTTTTATTCTGGAGATGAGATGATCCTAAAATAGAGAAGTTCGCTCTGCTCTGTACCAGAGCCATCTGGCACCGCAGTATTAAGCTCCACCGTGAGCAGGCGGCGGCGAAGGCGGCGGCGGTGGCTCCAAGACAAACGCAGATAAGTTGGTCACGTACAGTCGCGTTCGCCTCAGATCGTGTCTTTGAGGAGTTCGAGCTGTTGGCAAAAGGATTAAAACCTTTTTTCATTGTTTGATTCTTCACGACATCTGAGCAAATTATTATGACCACCTGTCAGTCAGAGGTGCAATACAGAGGTGCAATACACAGGTGCAATACAGAGGCGCAATACAGAGGCGCAATACAGAGGCGCAACACAGAGGCGCAACACAGAGGTGCAATACAGAGGCGCAATACAGAGGCGCAACACAGAGGCGCAACACAGAGGTGCAATACAGAGGCACAATACAGAGGCACAATACAGAGGCACAATACAGAGGCGCAATACAGAGGCGCAATACAGAGGCGCAATACAGAGGCGCAACACAGAGGTGCAATACAGAGGCACAATACAGAGGCGCAATACAGAGGCGCAATACAGAGGCGAAAACCACGCGTACCTGCACGATAAAGGACAAAAGTTATAATCCAAGTGCTTGAGTGGACGCAAAGGCAATATGGCTGAAGATAAGTCAAATAAACAGCTCAAAAAAGAGCTCACTATTGCAAAATGTCTCTTCACAAGGCAAGCTAATGTCATGGAGCGAGAAGCAACCAATATGGTTCAGAGAGAGCTACAAGAGGAGTTCGACAAACTGTCTGAACGTTTCACTGTACTCACGGAAGCAAGTGACAATTATTTAGCTGCAATAATGTCTGATGAGGCAAAAGAAGTGGTTTTCGACTGTCAAGTCCTCTGAAGTTTTGGTGTCTGAATGCAGGTTCGACTTGAAAAACCAATGAACACAAGGACGCAGGTTCAACTCAGCTTTAACTTTTTATTGTCATTTGTTGCAGTAGCAACAGCAGCAGCAGCAGCAGGTCGAAAACCTTTGGAGAAAATATACATTTTTAATAAACAGATTTTATCTAATTACTTTTTAAAGAATGAATTAATACTTTTAAACTAAATTTGTACTATTTTTACAATGTTTTTAGCTTGAATTTTATTGTACTTATCGTAATTTTAATGTTTTATTACAATAACTGCGGTCCAAATACTTTTAGAATTTAACTTAATTACTTTTAGTTTTTACAAATTTTATCAAAATATTTTAACATTGTATTTGATCATAACACTAACTTTTTAGATTGAAGATTATTTAAACAAATAAATAAATGAATTACAAATATTTTAGACTGTACTGTTAACTCAACTTAGAGAGCCAATCAATTAAACTGATTGTGAGACGTTAAAGATAATTCCTTGTAAATATTTATTACAATTAACTGAAAGTTACCCACAATAGATATTAGCCAAATAGAGTTGAGGTGCCTAGACTGAGAAATAAGTTAAATAATATTACCCCTCACTTGGGTGACTCAAAAGTGGTTGAATTAGCCAAAATATGTTACATTCCTGATAGCAAATGCACTAAAACGAGGCCTTTGTCTATTTTAAGCTTTTAAACAGAAATCTTCACTCACCAGTAGCATCTGTGTTCACCTTCATGCATTCAGTTTGTGTGTGTGGTTACACACCTGCACAAACTTGGCTAATTATTTGCCAGACTACTGGTCCCATTCTAACTATGCCTCCATCTACAGGCTAAACTTAAAATAACAAAAGAGATTGGAAGATAGACAGAGCAGTAAGAGTAGATTAGAAAGATGTTTAGATTTAAGCCGAGATTGACTTAACAATACAGAGGCGCAACACAGAGGCGCAACACAGAGGCGCAACACAGAGGTGCAATACAGAGGCACAATACAGAGGCGCAATACAGAGGCACAATACAGAGGCGCAATACAGAGGCGCAATACAGAGGCGCAATACAGAGGCGCAATACAGAGGCGCAATACAGAGGCGCAATACAGAGGCACAATACAGAGGCGCAATACAGAGGCGCAACACAGAGGCGCAACACAGAGGCGCAACACAGAGGTGCAATACAGAGGCACAATACAGAGGCGCAATACAGAGGCGCAATACAGAGGCGCGATACAGAGGTGCGATACAGAGGTGCGATACAGAGGTGCAATACAGAGGTGCAATACAGAGGTGCAATACAGAGGTGCGATACAGAGGTGCGATACAGAGGCGCAACACAGAGGTGCAATACAGAGGTGCAACACAGAGGTGCAATACAGAGGTGCAACACAGAGGTGCAACACAGAGGTGCAACACAGAGGTGCAATACAGAGGTGCAACACAGAGGTGCAATACAGAGGCGCAACACAGAGGTGCAACACAGAGGTGCAATACAGAGGTGCAACACAGAGGTGCAATACAGAGGTGCAATACAGAGGTGCAATACAGAGGTGCAATACAGAGGCAGCAGGAGGCGATGGGGGGTGTGCAATAAGTGCAATATAGAACCACATGTCTCTGTGTGTCCTAGAGCCTTATGATGCTAACATGCTAACATGCGGCACGGTGGCTGAGTGGATAGCACTCTCGCCTCTCAGCAAGAAGGTCCTGGGTTCGAATCCCGGTCGGACCAGGGCCTTTCTGAGTGGAGTTTGCATGTTCTCCCCGTGTCTGCGTAGGTTTCCTCCGGGTACTCCGGTTTCCCCTACCACTAAAAATATGTACAATAGTTCTGGCATGTGCCTCCTGTACTGGCCCCTCCCATCTCTGTGTGGAGTGAGAGACAAATGCCCAAAATAACAATTGTAAACCGCTTTGAGACTCAGATCTGCAGTGAAAAGGCGGTATATAAATAAAGACTACTTACTACTTACTTACTACCTGTGCTAAGGCTACACACCTGTCTGCCCCTGTATCGTCCAGCGATCTGGGATAATCTCGCTCTGGTCCCTCTCTGGTCTCTCTGGTCTCTCTGGTCTCTCTCTTGTCTCGCTCTCGCTCTGGTCCCTCTCTGGTCTCTCTGGTCTCTCTCTTGTCTCGCTCTCGCTCTGGTCCCTCTCTGGTCTCTCTGGTCTCTCTCTTGTCTCGCTCTCGCTCTGGTCTCTCTCTGGTCTCTCTGGTCTCGCTCTAGTCTCACTCTGGTCTCTCTGCTGTTTTATGGTTGAAAGTCGAATATGTAACATTTAACCTGTGTCCTGTGTGTGTGTGTGTGTCTCTGTGTCTCTGGGTGTGTGTGTCTCTGTGTGTGCGTGTGTGTCTCTGTGCGTCTGTCTGTGTGTCTTTCTGTGTGTGTGTGTGTAGATGTCAGGAGGACCTGCAGCTGCGTTCCAGTCAGAGCTACATGAGGGCCCGTGTGCTGCAGGTGGAGAGACGTGTGTGTCTGTGTGCGTCTGTGTGTGTCTGTGTGTGTCTGTGTGCGTCTGTGTGTGTCTGTGTGTGTCTGTGTGCGTCTGTGTGTGTCTGTGTGTGTCTGTGTGTGTCTGTGTGTGTCTGTGTGCGTCTGTGTGTGTCTGTGTGTGTCTGTGTGAGTCTGTGTGCGTCTGTGTGTGTCTGTGTGAGTCTGTGTGCGTCTGTGTGAGTCTGTGTGCGTCTGTGTGTGTCGGTGTGTGTCTGTGTGAGTCTGTGTGAGTCTGTGTGAGTCTGTATGCGTCTGTGTGTGTCTGTGTGTGTCTGTGTGAGTCTGTGTGCGTCTGTGTGTGTCTGTGTGAGTCTGTGTGTGTCTGTGTGTGTCTGTGTGAGTCTGTGTGTGTCTGAGGTTTTGTGTATTGCAGGTGGAGAGGTGTGTGTGTTTGTGTCTGAGGTTGTGTGTGTTGCAGGTGGAGAGACGTGTGTGTCTGTGTGAGTCGGTGTGCGTCTGTGTGAGTCTGTGTGCGTCTGTGTGAGTCTGTGTGAGTCTGTGTGCGTCTGTGTGAGTCTGTGTGTGTCTGTGTGTGTCTGAGGTTTTGTGTATTGCAGGTGGAGAGGTGTGTGTGTTTGTGTCTGAGGTTGTGTGTGTTGCAGGTGGAGAGAGGTGTGTGTGTGTGTCTGAGGTTGTGTGTGTTGCAGGTGGAGAGAGGTGTGTGTGTCTGAGGTTGTGTGTGTTGCAGGTGGAGAGAGGTGTGTGTGTGTGTCTGAGGTTGTGTGTGTTGCAGGTGGAGAGAGGTGTGTGTGTG